ACAGATACTTAATAACTTAATATATACTACTACTACTAAACTACACCCCCACCCCCCACCCCACCCACCACCACACACACACACACACACACACACACACACACACACACACACACACACACACACACACACACACACACACACACACACACACACACACAGTAATAAAATGGTTCCACGGACAAGATTTGTGGAGATACTTGCTGCAAGAAATACTAAACACATGCACAGTAACATTTAAACAAACTTTGTTACTGTCCACAATGGATAGTCTACTTTACTGAAAAGCTATATTTGAAATTAGCACTAATGTATTCTGAACATAAGCAAAACTATTTTTTTTTCATACTGAATCCCTTGTTACTTAACTAACATCAAACTATCCACAACTGGTTACTTGTAGTTGCACATGGTATCACTATCTCAAGATGTAATCTATCAGCAATAGAAAATAACTTCACATATTAATAGTAACCTTGTAGCTATCTTTCTCATGGAAAGACAAAGGGTGCTATTCTAGGTGAATGGCACCAAACAGTTGATAGCTGGAGTAAAACATTCTTGTACAACTTGTGTAGAAACTGCATGCACCTGTGAACATTTAGAATTTCCTACATAAACAAGATGTAAAACGTATGGTACCATTTTTATACCACAGTAGCTTAGTCAGAAGCAACACTAATTGCATGCTAGCATATTGTTAATTTATATTGTCTTGCAGAAATCTTCTTTTAGTAAATCTAATAAACTACATCAACTATTTACGCTACATATAAAGTCATCATTTACATAACTTTCACTTCTGTTTTTTATAGTTAAGTTTAACATTTCATTTTTATACTTTCAGGTTATTTCCTGATGGTGTAGATGTTGTTTTGGACTGTTTGTATGGAGATGATGCAAAAAAAGGGTATAACCTCTTAAAGCCCTTAGGACGCTATATTTTATATGGTAACTCTTTCCATATCAAACTAATTCTTCAGTTTAGTGTTCTGTAATGGTAATATCTGCCTGTTGTATTGAATGGTAAAGCAGATGATGCATAATTCAATACTTAAAAACTAGAAAAGTGTGCCTGCTCCTCCCATATTTCTTTCATTTTATCCAAAAGATGTCTAATTGGATATTTATGGAAGTGCCTCCTTGTGCAAAATATATTTTGTAAAATACTTGTTTGCTGATGCTTGCATTTCATTCATCATAGTCAGTTTTTTTTTTGTTATAACTACTTGGAATATGAACTTTTTTGTCAATACTTAACTTAGATTTTCTTATTTTACATTGTTGTCTTGTATCTTTTTTACATTCCTTAAACTTGTCACATTTTGCTTCCATGTTTAAAGTTGCCAATTAAACTTTTTCAACTATTCTTTATAAATGTGTATAGCTTTTCATTTTTTTTTTTTATACAGGAACATCAAGTTTTGTGACAGGAGAAACAAAAAGCTTCTTCAGTTTTGCAAAATCGGTGAGTACAATAAAGCTAACTTTTTTACCCCTATTCTAGGATCAGTAAATATTACTGGAGTCAAATTATTTGTCAGCATACTTTGTTTTTTATTACTTTACTACATAGAATATGGGATGAACCTAGACACCCCCCCCCCCCTAAGTGGAATATTCTTCTTGTATATTCATGTTTATTTGCTGAATAATTGACATTCTTCCCAATATCCCTACAAAACAATGTGTTAATACAACTAAGATGAAACAAAATTACCTCTTCACCAACACTAACATTTTAATAGGTCTTAAGTCAAATGCAAAACCATGCATGTTCTCATATCTGGCTTGCTCTTCCACAGATTCAACCAGATAAACTGCTATATAATGGCTCTTTTCATAAAGGTTGCAAACATTTTTGGACTAGAAGTATTATAAAAAATAAAAAAAAAAAAAAAAAAAAAAAAAATTGTTATAACATTATATCGAAGTATCTTTATACTTAAGGGAAGTCTTATTGTTATCAAGCCTATTACAGAACTTTCTAGATATTCCTATTATAATAGTGAATTCATTTTTATAGCTAAGTTGTATTTTTCTTAATTGGAAACTTTTGACTTTTATTTACTGGCAAAAGTAACTTTGCAATGGCTGGTATTCACTAACTGCCTTCCCTCTTATCGCTTCTAAACTAGGGATGACTAGTACGGTTAGTCCTTAATTAGCTTTGGGCAAAGTTTACCAAATAAACTACTGAATTTACAAGACTTCTAACTTCTGCTTTACAGGATTTGGAAAATTTAAATTTTACTAATTTATTTTAATATATCATTTTCTCAATCTAGATGAGCTTACATCATATTAGGAAATATTTAGTCATTCTATAAAATAACTGTTTTGCAAACATTAGTGTTGTATTCTAAAAATTACTTTAGTGCCAAGAAACCTTTATTTTGTAAATGAACTACATCCCAGATCAAGTAATTTTTTTTTTTATTCTAACATTTGATTTGATGTTACCAAGAATCTTTGACCTTTTAAGTTTTGCTATTTAATAAGTATTGCTTATATGGTTTATACATCTATATTGAGTATTGAAAAGCTGTTTTAGTATTATGTAAATTTTTGTTGTTGTAATTAAGTATTTGAACAATTTACATGCTAGCCTAAAGTTCCTGTTTTGTAAAACATTCAGTGGTGGCAGGTAGAAAAAGTGAACCCCATGAAGTTGTTCGATGAGAACCACTCTATCTCGGGATTCCAGCTGCGTCGCCTTCTTTACCAGCAAGGAGCTCATGAATATGTTCGTGGAGTTGTGATCAAAATCTTTAAAATGTGGGAAGATGGACATATAAAACCTGTTATAGATTCCACATGGGCATTTGAAGATGTAAAAAAAAATTTACTTTTCTTTTAGATGTAAAGCACCTTTATCATACTTAATAAAACTTAGATAGAAACTTTTTAACAACCTAGTATGGAACTTAGTATAAGTTTAGCATTATCAAGAGCCTTAATGTTCCCCAAAGTGATTCTTATCTGATGGGAGAAGAGACCCTCATTTCTTAGTCACCCACTGTACAATGGAATGAATCTTCACCAGCCTTTCCACCCTATTAATAGGATTTCATAAAACTAAATGTCATGATACTTAGTTAGGCCTCAAATCCAGGTTGTCATGGTGACAATTTCATTGTGACACCTAACATTTTCTCCTATTTTATTTGTGCATAGAATCTAAAACAGTTCTGACTCTTGGAATTTTAACTTTTTGCATTCTTGAAGTCCTAAATCAAACTTTGTTTCTAAAATTTCAGTGGTGAATTCAGAACTTCATGTTTTTTCAGTAATAAGGTGCTTTGGTTGCACATGTTCCTAATTCTGTACCACTTTGTTTTTCTTTCTCTCAATTCAACAAACTAGTACATGTGTTTAGACTTGAATGGGGACCAAAGACAGTTTGGGCAATCGTATCAAATGGTTTATCATGTGATTGATAGCATTGCAGTGAAAGTAAATGTACACTGGTGCCTCAATTATCTGCACTAATCTGAGGAAAGCAAATTGCAGATAAATAAGGCACTAGTGTATCTTTCAAATTAGCCTTTGTTTAATCTAAATAAAATCTTTCAAATGTTCTTAATATCCCATCTTAAATTATCTCTTTACTATCACTTAATCATAAGCTGTCATAATCATAACCTCAGAGTTGGTCACACTATTTCTTGATTACACAAGTTCAATTGAGGCACTAGTGTAAACCCATTATCTGGTACAAACTATGGTGAAGTTAAGCACACCTGGCTCTTAGATCTGAAAATGAGGCTTGTACTAAGAGCATATAATTACAAAATAAATGAATCTTGATTCAAGGAACCTACTAATTCAGATACTCTTAAGTTTACCCTCAACTAAGTTTGAGTTGCTATTATTCATAGCACTAATAGCAATTTCTGTCCCTCTATTTGGCTAATAAAAATCCAGTTTAACTTAATTTTGTAGTTTTAGTTTGTAATGAAGTTTCTAAAATGTCATGTAAAATTTTCTTGACTTTTGCATAATTATACTAAAATATGGTGTTAACATAAGCATTAATTGGATAATACTTGTGGTTAGATTCTTAGATCATATAACATTTCAAACTGTAGATGGTTTTGTTTTATCACTAAAAGCTGAGTTTCTAAACCTGTAATATAAGATGTTAACTTGTCCTTTGAATTTTAGTTCTGCACATCCCAATTTGTGTAGTTTATAAACTTTCTTTCATACGTCAAATCTAGTTTTTGTTCTTAAATTACTTTTTCTAGGTCCCAGAAGCCATGCAAAAGCTACATGATAGAAAAAATATTGGAAAAATAACTCTTGATCCCAGTATGGAACCTAAACCTAAGCTTCAGGTAATTAACAGTTTGTATGTAACTGGTGTTTTTGTTTTTATAATAATTAATAATAATACTTGAACATTCTAAAATAACTGTTTGTAAATGTTAAACTATATCCCAAAACAATACTCGCTTATAATTGGCATGGCAGGGTTTGCCTAGGCCATAAATTCTGGTTATAATTTTTCAGTACTAAAAATCTTCTTTTTAAGTAACCTTGTAGCTCCTACTCTTCTTCTCCCCTTATTTGAAAACAAGCTGTAATATTATGTATCTTTTGTAAAACTGCTAGTAGAAAATGATAGCCTGCCCACAATGATTAGTAACCAGTTCTAGCCTATTGCTATTAAAATAGTCTGTCAAAACAAGTGATCTGTTTGTGTTACACCTAAACTTTTTAGAGTAACTTGTTTAAGAAATATTCATCAAATACTTCTGTGATAGGAAAATGGGCTATCAAAATGAAGAGAAAATACTGTCTTAATTGTTCAGTAACTTCGTGTACATTACTAGAATATATATTTGTCTATTGGGCATGATAACTATAATCATGGTAGACTTTTATTGGGATTAAGTTAAAGCCATTATTGTGAAATAGTGTATTTTGACTAGACCTTACCCAACATTGTTCAATGTTCCTGCTGTGAAGTTTGCAGTACAACCTACTAGAGTAAAGAGACCCTTTACCTTACAACTTTAAATATTCCATATCTTCAATAAACTTATTTCTTGACATTCCAAGCTCACCATTATGTACTGTGTAACTCTAATTTTCATACTTAACCTTAAAGATTTTTTTTATTTCTATGCTGATACACTTAATTTGCTACTTTTATTAATTGTGTGTTCAGGAAGCAATATATAAGTAATGGTGTTTCTTAATATCCAATATCTTTTTGTGAATAAAATGATTAATTTGTAATTGAATCTTTCCAACTTTTGAATTTTTTTTATTTTTTTTTTTTGCAGACCAAAGGTAATAAAGAGAAAGATAAAGAAAATAAAAATGAGCAATCTGCTGGTGAAGGAACTTCACAAGAAGCTACAGATGCTAAGACAGAGGAAGATGATTCTGCTGCTCCACCTTGTAAGGCTACTTATGTTTATGATAGCTTCTGTGTTTTAGATAAATAACACCCATTTAAGAAAACTGGTATTTTATATGTAACATCGTACTAAAGAAACATCTTCATGTAAAATAAGATGCTTGGAATTAGTGTCTTTGTATTAAAGGAAACCTATAAACTTTAACCACTAGAAGAACTTAGTGGCATCGGGTATTGCAGTTGTCACTATTAAATTTCATTATTTAAGTTGTTAAACTTTCCTAATCTTTTATTTTAATATTAATAATTACTGAATTCAGCTTCTTACCATAATTATGAAAGCTTCTAATTTATTTATTAAACTTCATGTGTTTTGAACAATTTAATGACTTTTTCTTTTTTTCTTCAGAATTCTACTAAAATGCATGTGGTAACGAATGTTAACCCAATAAAACTTAGCTCACTGAAATTGGTCATTCAGAAAATTAACTATAGCTACAACCCAGGGGAGTTGTGCTTAATATTTTCATTTGTATGTATAGCATTTCTTTTATCTTCAGTCTTTCTTGACATGTACCTTAGTTTTATAATTGCCTTATGTATTTCCTATTGGTAAAATTTAAATGCACTAAGCCACCTACCACTCTGTAAATGTGACTTCGGGATCCCAATTGTGTAATTCTACAGAAAATGCATTTCTTTTATGATTGGTTTTAATTTTTGGCACATTTGTCAGTATAAAATAAACTTTCACTCTAACTTTAAAAAAATTGGTTATTGCATTATATGTGAAATGAACTAAATATTTTTCTAAAATTCTCCTTCTAGCTGCCAACTAAAGCTTGAAATAACAGTGACAAACCTAAGGCAAAATACTTGCTCCAAATTGAAATCTCCATTCCTATAAATTCAATGCTTCACTTCATAACATATCCTTTTTCTTGTCTGGTAGTTTGTTATTGTACCATTCCCTTGTTTTTCTTTCCTCTAATGTCCTAATATTTTGCCTTTGTGATTTATTCTCAACTAGTTAAATCTGAAAGCTTCGTTTTGTTTTTCTTGTACCAAAATTATAAAGTGTAAACTTAAAGTAACTTTTTTATTAATTTGATAACTTAACTTTGAATTAACACCTTATTAACCACAATATAGAAGCTAAAAATAGTATTTTCTGTTGCAATTTTTTTCTTGTTGTCATAAGTTAATTCCAATATACATACCATGTATAACATTTCTATCTTATGGTGTCAAAACAAAATTCTTCCTGTACAAAACATTCCCAAAGGTAACCTGATGATAATTCTAATTTTTAACGCATCTTTCTCTTCAGTTCACATAAATTAACTTATTATGAACTATACTTGCCACTAGTGTCACAAATCTATATATAACTTTTGGACTACAAACTTCAAGTTAACTGAATAAACAGTAACTTATTTATTGACCAGCTAATTATTTTCATAGTAATTATACTTGCTGTTATCTTTGGTCGTTAGCCTAAAATTAAAATGGAGTTACTAATTTAACTTGAACACATTTTCCAGACTTATGTTTTTGATTTTACACTTTAATATTTGGAAAGATTAGTTGTTTGTATGTAATCATTAGTGTCTTTTTTTGTAGGTGCTTTATTTTCAAGTAACCTAACACCTCAAAGTCTAAGTCATTTGTTTTTGCAGTCTAACTTATTGCTCAATTTATTTTTATACACTTTGTAATTTTCTATATTTATACGTTTAAATATACATTCAAATGAGGTAAACTGTAATATTTATTATGTTTCAGTTTTTCTTTGATACATTCACCCAATCACTGCTGTTGCATAATATTGTACTTTTAATAATGCTGAAATGATCTGTATGTCAAATGTTGCCACTCTCATTGTGGTTATATTTTGATGTTCTATTGTAAATTTGAATGTAAAATAAAAAAACGAATCTAGATTTTTCAGTTGTATTTATTTTGTATTTAGTGTTTAAATAATTGATTTGTAAATTAAATTGCTTTTTTTTATTTTTAACTCTAAAATGCTTGCATTTAATTTACACTGTTTAGGCAGAGTATTCTGGCCAAGTAAACTAGAATGGACAGCAACTGGTTGTAGTAACTACATAACATGCTGTTACCATCAATTCCAGTTCAATTATGTAGTCATTTATTTGTACATTGTATTACAATTAACTTAATATTTGGTCATAAAGAAATCAATGTTGCATTTTATTAAATGAAATAGGCTCCACTCATATTGATGTTTTTCTGGCTTGCAATCAAGTT